TCTGCCTCCAGAGTTCAGGGAGTAAAGGTGTGTCCCACCACGCCCAACTTATATCTTAATATTTTACTTTACTTTTTCTTTTAAAGAACTTTTGGTGGATTTCTTTTTTTTTTTAAGTTTGTTTAGAGGGTTTTTTTTGTTTTTTTTGTTTGTTTGTTTTTTGTCTTTTTAGCCTGGAACTCACTTATGTAGACCAGGCTGGCCTCACAGAGATCCTCCTGCCTCTGCCTCCTGAGTGCTGGGATTAAAGGCATGCACCACCATGCCCAGCTCTATAGGTGATTTTAAAAAATTTAAAAAAAAATTTTTTATTTTATGTGTATGTGTGTGTTGCCTGCATGCAGGTAAATGCACCTGTGTAGTGCAATGCCCTTGGAGGTCAGAAGAGGCTGTCAGATCCCCTGGGACTGGAGTTACGGATAGTTGTTAGCTGCCATGTGGTGCCAGGATTTGAACCCAGCTCTTCTGCAAGAACAGCCAGTGTTCTTAACCGCTGAGCCATCTCTCTAGGCCCAAACTTTTTTTTTTTAATTTATTTTTTATTTTTTTACAGGTGATTTTTGAACATAGACTTTTTGATGGGATTTTTCTTTGTGCTTTAATTTGTCAGGATTTTACTTTATATATTTTCTTTATATATTTCCCTATTAGTATGTGTGTGTATGCACATGCATGTATATACTTGCCACAGCATGTGTGTGGAAGTCAGAACACAACTTGTAAGATGTTGGTTCTCTCCTTCTACCATGTGTGTCCTGGGGATCAAACTTAGGTTATCAGGCTTGGTGGCAAGTGCCTTTACCTTCTGCTATGTCTGTGGCTAGAAGTTTGCCTCTTAACAGTCTCCTGAGCTGGCATGGTGGTACATGGAAAACTAAGGCAGCACTTGGAAAACTAAAGTAGGAACATTGTGAGTTTCAGGCCAGCCTTGGCTACATAGTGAGTTCTTGAATCCAGTCCAAACTATATAACAAGAGCCTGTCCCCTCAAAATCAAGAACTGAAGGTTTTAGGGCCCTAACATGCACAAAGTCCTAGGTTTGGCCTTCAGCCAAAATACAAAAGTAAACCAAAAATATGAAATTTAGTTAAAAGCAATACTTTTCTATTATTATTACTTATTATCATCTATAAAATACTTTTAATATATCCCAAGCATTGTACTGAGAGCTTAATTTTATTTAACTGAAAATTAATGTATTTTCTTTGTTTCCATGGAGAGTAGGAATATTCTAAAAGCATATTAAATCTTCAAAAAACCATTTCAAGTCTGTTTCATGTGCTAGTATTAATTGTAAGTAAATAATTAAGAAGCTTAAATTACAGGCTGGGTGTGGTGGTGCATGCCTTAATGCCTGCACTCTGGAGGCCGAGGCAGGTGGATCTCTGTGAGTTTGAGGCTAGCCTGGTCTACATAGCAAATTCTAGGCCAGTTGGGGCTACAGGGAGACCCTGTCTCAAAAAGACCAAAAAAAAAAAAAAAGTTTCAATTACTTCAGTGTTACTATTTATCTCAAAGCCATCCAGTAGTATGTAAATGGGAATGGTGAGCTTGATGAAATATGGGGACCAAGCAAAAAACAAATATAGGAAGTGGGCTGATGAAATACCATTTGTACAGTCAGTCAGTGGCCTCAGAGTTGGGGTTAACAGGAGACTAAACTCCCAAATGCTCTCCCAAAGGAAAAACGAATGAAGCAGTGATTTTTGAGTCCATTGGGTAGACCATAAGATTTGACCTGAAGGGAGCTGACAGCCTTATGAACCACAGCTTTTAGAAGCCAGAATTTTCTATGTGAATGACTGTATTGGTGGTAGTGAAAATAGCATGCTGAAACAGAGGAAGTTGTAGTGAGGGTTTTATTTTGACATCAGATGCTGGCTCAGAAGTAGAACTGCCCATGTTGGCCAAAAAAAACTGGAGGAGCTGGGCATGGTGGTATATGCCCTTAGTCCCAGCACTTGGGGCCAGAGGCAGGTGGATTTCTGTGAGTTCAAGGCCAGCCTGGTCTACATAGTGACTCCAGTACAGCTGGGACTACAGAGAGACCCTGTCTCAAAAAAACCAAAA